ACTGTCTACTGACTTCTGTGGAACTTACTCCTGAAAATGTGAACACATCTTGTTAGCTCATATATCCCCAAAGTCAGAGGAAAAATGCACAGGAGCTACCTGGTCACTCACTCTTCTCCCCACCTTGATGTGTATTTTCTGAACCCAATCATAAACAGATACGAAGCAAGTCAGAAGAGGGAAAAGAAAACCAGGAAGTAATGTCTACAAATTTTTGGATACATAACCAGATAATACAAGAAGCCTAGAGTGAGATTGTGTTCCAATGGAAGCTGGAGTAACAACAGTTTGCTGTGCATGCAGTGTTTTTTTAATGTTGTGAGCTGCTTTGTATCTCAATTAAAAAGATAAAAGCAGGATATAAAAATATGACAATAATACAGCAGATGCTCAGATAACCAGCACTCATGGAGATTGGTAGATGGTTGAAAAACATAGTTTATGGTTGCTTGAGATGTACAAAGAAAAGCAGGCATAATACTATACCCCATACTATACCCTACCATGCTCACATCAATATTGAAATACAATAATTAAAAGCAAATTAAGACAAACTTAAGTAAATGTCTTACAATTTTACTGTTTTACAGGATTACAGAAAGATATTTTTTATTTAAAGTACTATTTTAAATGTTTTGATTGCTTGAGAGTTCTGGCTGATTGAATTCCATTTAACTGAGGCCCCATCTACACTGCCCATTTAATGCAGTTTGAAGCTAGTGGTCAGACAACAAAATCCCACTAAAGCGTGCAACAGAAAGCCATTGCTGTGCATCAGTGCTTTGTGTCATCACCATCGGAGCCTCAAACTGGTTCCAGGATTTCCTATGTATGCACAGATATATGCATTTAATGCCTCAAACTACATTAAATGGCCAGTGTAGCTAGGGTCTGAGAGTCTCGTGTAATAAAAAAATGCCCATGAACAAAAGGTTCCCTCTCTCCACATTTCCAAGGACATGTTCTTTCTAGGATTTTTTTTTTCAACAGACCTATAAACCAGAATGAAGCCTTACTTAGTTCAATTGATCCCCTCCCCCACAGGCGTCCGACAACAGGCATAGACAAACTTTGGCCCTCCAGATGTTTTGGACCTCAATCCCCATAATTCCTAACAGCCTAGTTGAAGTTCAAAACCTCTGGAAGGTCAAAGTTTATCCATGCCTGATCTACAGTCAAATGAATGCAGCTTGACACCGCTTTATTTATATTTATTTATATCCCACTTTCTCTCTCAAAGCGGCTCACAATCATAAACATTACAACTTAAAATATACACATACACAATAAATATATATAATTATATATTATATATTATCAGTAGTATTATATTTAATATATTAGTATTATTATATTACAATAGTATTATTATAAATTATTTTATTGTATCACAGTAGAGTCTTGCTTATCCAACATAAACAGGCCGGCAAAATGTTGGATAAGCGAAAATGTTGGATAATAAAGGGAGATTAAGGAAAAGCTTGTTAAATGTCAAATTATGTTATGATTTTACAAATTAAGGACCAAAACATGTTTTACAACAAATCAACAGAATAAGCAGTTGAATACATGGTAACGTTATGGAGTAATTACTGTATTTACTAATTCAGCACCAAAACATTGCAATGTATTGAAACAGCTGTGGATCCGGCAGGAGCAGACTGCGTTGGATAATACAGAACGTTGGATGAGCAAAGGTAGTATGGTGATAATATGATAGCTGGGTCCGGAAACTCTGAGTATTACGGAGATGCCGCAAAGGCAGCTGTAAATAAGGGAAGAGAGGGGGAGGAGTGAGAGCGGGTAGAGCGAAGGAAGGATAGAAAGGAGAGGATGCTTAGGGTAAGGATTAGGGCAAGGATTAGGGCTTGGGTTAGGCTTACGGTTAGGGGTTATGGTTAGGGTATGGTTTAGGGTTAGCGTAAGGGTAAGGGTTTGGGTTTAGGGTAAGTGTTTGGGTAAGGGGTTAGGCTTACGGTATGGTTCAGGGTTAGGGTTTCATTATTAAAGAACTCTTACATTCCTGTAATGTAAGCTATATTATCTGGCTTATATTAGCTAAGTCTCTCTTGTGCAAACAGCGCTCCCAAAGGAGTGATGTGGCATCTCCGTAATGCTCGGAGCTTCCAGACCCAGCTATCATACTATTACCAGTAGTATTAACACATTGTCAGTATATTACACTATTAGCTTTCCTAGCTGCCAACTGTTAGCATAGCTCATTGTTTACCTAAGCAATTCAAAATCAGCTTTAACTGTGATTAGAGAAATTAGGTACCACTAAAAGCGGGGGAGGTGTTGTACGACACCATAAAGAAGGAAGATCAGAAAATGCTGGGCGGCCAAATCTTCGTCAATCAGGATAAAGCAACAGCACCCCCTGGACTCAAGCCCAACCTTCCATGGTACCAAAAAACAGCTGAAACAAAGCACCTCCTTCTGTTCTGTCTGTGTATTGTCTATACCAGGGGTCCTCAAACTTTTTAAACAGAGGGCCAGGTCACAGTCCCTCAAACTGTTGGAGGGCCGGATTATAATTTGAAGAAAAAAAACCACGAATGAATTCCTATGCACACTGCACATATCTCATTTGTAGTACAATAACACTTAAAAACAATACAATAATTAAAATGAAGAACAATTTTAACAAATATAAACTTATTAGTATTTCAGTGGGAAGCGTGGGCCTGTTTTTGGCTGATGAGATAGGATTGTTGTTGTTGTTGTTGTGTGCTTTCAAATCATTTCAGATTTAGGTTGACTCTGAGTGAGGGCTGGGTAAATGACCTTGGAGGGCCATATGGGAAGTGTGGGCCTGCTTTTGGCTCATGAGATAGGATTGTTGTTGTTGTTGTTGTTGTGTGCTTTCAAGTCGTTTCAGACTTAAGTTGACCCTGAGCGAGGGCCGTGTAAATGACGTTGGAGGGCCGTATCCGGCCCTCGGGCCTTAGTTTGAGGACCTCTGGTTTAGAGTTTTGGTTTAGGGTAAGGGTTTAGGCTTACGGTACAGTTCAGGGTTAGGGTTTCACCATTAAAGAACTCTTACATTCCTTCTATATTATCTGTCTCCGGCCTGGCTTACATTAACTGAGTCTCTCTTGCGCAAACAGCGCTCCCAAAGGAGCGATGCGGCATCTCTGTAACGCTTGGAGCTTCTGGACCCAGCTATCATACTATTACCAGTAGTATATCACACTACAAGTATATTATACTATTAGTATTATACTTTATATTAGGTAAAAGTTTTCCCCTGACATTAAGTCCAGTTGTGTCCGACTGGGGTGTGGTGTTCATTTCCATTTCTAAGCTGAAGAGCTGGTGTTGTCCGTAGACACCTCCAAGGTCATGTGGTTAGCATGACTGCATGGAGTGCCATTACCTTTCCGCTAGAAAGTACCTATTAATCTACTCACATTTGCATGTTTTTGAACTGCTAGGTTCGCAGAAACTGGGGCTGATAGCGGAAGCTCACGCTGCTCCCTGGATTCGAACCTATGACCTTTCGGTCTACAAGCTCAGCAGCTCAGCGTTTTAACCCACTGCGCCACCGGGGGCTCCCCATACTTTATATTATATTTATTCTAGATTTATTATATGTTATATAATAGCTTTAGCTGCCTGAGGAAGTTGTAGTTTTACAAGATCCTTGAAGTTGTGGGGGTTTCTTTGTTATGCATTGTTTATTTTACAGCAGATACATAGTATTCAATACAGCCTACCATAATTTAACTTTTGGCATCTACTGGTTATTTTTATGCTTATACGTATTATCTATCTCTCACCACAAGACGCACTGTCTGAACATTAAGCAAAAAGTGGGCGCTAGAAACAAAACATACGAAAGCTGACTGGCACAACCTGGGGATCACAACCAGACACAGTGAAGACATTTGCCCTTGCGCTATGCTACTCTGCTGCTGAGTACACATGCCCAGTGTGGAACACACAGTGGATGTGACTCTTAATGAGACATGCCGCATTACCACAGGGTGTCTGCGCCCTACACCACTGGAGAAATTGCACTGCTTAGCCAGTATTGCACCACCTGACATCCGCCGGGAAGTAGCAGCCAATAGTGAAAGGACCAAGGCAGTGACATCTCCAGCTCATCTCTTGTTTGGGTATCAGCCAGCACGTCAACGACTTAAATCAAGACATAGTTTTCTTAGATCTACAGAGACACATGCTGGAACACCTCAGCAAGCGAGAGTCCAAAAGTGGCAGGCCCAAACCCAGCACCTCAATCCGTGAGAGACTCCACCCTGGGCACACAGAGGATTGGGCGACTTGGAAGGCGCTGAACATACTACGCTCTGGCATCACGAGATGCAGAGCCAATCTCAAGAAATGGGGCTACAAAGTTGAATCCACGACATGCGAGTGTGGAGAAGAGCAAACCACAGACCACCTGCTGCAATGCAACCTGATCCCTGCCACATGCACGATGGAGGACCTTCTTGCAGCAACACCAGAAGCACTCCAAGTGGCCAGATACTGGTCAAAGGACATTTAACCAACTACCAAGTTTGCAAAATTTGGTGTTTTTGGTTTTTTTGTTTTGTTTTTTTTAATCTGTTTGTTTTGTTCTGTTAGAAATGTAACACAATGGTCTGGTTGCTGATGACACGATAAATAAAATAAATACCACTGTGCTCCCCTCCCTCCTCCCTTGAAGTTGTAGTTTTACAAGATCCTTGCCGAAGAATCCTTGTGCCCCACCAAACTACAAATCCCAGGCAGTTCAAAGTGGAGTCCAACTGCATGGATTCTACTGTGCAGATGCACCCCTTTCCTTGTCCTATTCGCCGTCCCTTCTGCATCCTAGGCCTTGAATTGCACTCACTTCGTGATAGACAGACACACCAAAGCAGGGCCCCTCCACCCTTGAAAGCAGCTGTCTGGGCCTCTTCCTGGAAGGAAGGAAGGAAGGAAGGAAGGAGGGAGAGCGAGAAAGGGGCGGGGAGCAGAAAGGGGCGGAGCCACCGCCGCGGCCCACTCACCTGGGGAAGCGGGCCTTCAGCTGCTTCAGGCTCTGCCTGGTGGGGGCCACCTGGGCCAGGAAGAGGGCCACCTCTCCGTACTGAGCTTTGCTCAGCGGCATGCCTGCCTGCCTGCCTCCCTCCCACAAGCAGAGCGCAGCACACAGGGAAGCACCAAAGGGCAGACAAGGACTACTCTCTTCCCTTCCCCCGCTGCTTGCTTCCCGGCATACAGCCCTCGAGGGCTCGGCCTAAGGAGCGGGGCAAAGCCTAGGCAGCCAAGACATGCCTGTTTCGAAAAAGGGCCTTTGCTCTCAGCTTCCCGCCCGCAGAAGGGGAGAAACCAGCGCCGCTCATGCGCTGCTCGGCGGCTCCGCCTTCGCCGTCGCGGAGGAAACGAAAGCGACGCTTTGGGCGGGAAAAGTCTCTCTCAACTGGAATGAATGGAAAGGAATGGCGGGGCGGGCTTTTCGCCTCGCTTCCTTCAGCAACCCAAAGTGTCCTCCTCCCCTCCTGCTACGGGACTGTCCCAGCTCCAGCTTCTCCTTCTCCAGTTGGACTGCAACTCCCACCATTCCTAACAGCCAGGCATGGGCCAACTTGGGCCTTCCAGGTGTTTTGAACTGCAACTCCCACCGTTCCCAACAGCCAAGCATGGGCCTTCCAGGTGTTTTGGACTGCAACTCCCACCGTTCCCAACAGCCAAGCATGGGCCAACTTGGGCCTTCCAGGTGTTTTGGACTGCAACTCCCACCATTTCCAACAGCCAGGCATGGGCCAACTTGGGCCTTCCAGGTGTTTTGGACTGCAACTCCCACCATTCCTAACAGCCAGGCATGGGCCAACTTGGGCCTTCCAGGTATTTTGGACTGCAACTCCCACCATTCCCAACAGCCAAGCATGGGCCAACTTGGGCCTTCCCAGTATTTTGGACTCCCACCATTCCCCATAGCCATGCATGGTCAAACTTGGGCCTTCCAGGTATTTTGGACTGCAACTCCCACCATTCATAACAGCCAGGCATGGGGGGGGGGGAGGAAGAGGCCTGACGTTGTTAGGAATGGTGGGAGTTGAAGTCCAAAATACCTAGAAGGCCCAAGTTTGACCATGCCTGATCTACACCCACTGAAGTCCTGGGAGTTGTTTGGTGAGGCACCAGCAAGCACTCTTTGGCAGAGAAGGCTGAAGACCTTGTGAAACTACAGCTCCCAGAATTAGTGCTGCGCTGTGGCAAAGTGGCATCAAGGTGCTTTATTTATTTATTTAAAGTATTTATATTCCTCCCTTCTCACCCTGCAGGGGACTCAGGGCAGATACCAATGCACACATTCAATGCCAACCTGTATATAGACAGACACAGAGGCACTTAACATTCCAGCTTTTCCGGCTTCATGAGGGTATGCTCGATTCCGGCCACAGAGGGAGCTGCCGCTTCAGCATCCGCTTGTGACACCGAGTCCTTTGATGGAGTACTTCCTCATTCTTCTTCACACTGCTGGAAGGTTTTATGGTGTCGTAAATTAGTTAAATTAGCCTCCCTGCATAAAGCGGACCTAAATTTCGTACTTGACAGATGCAACTGTCTTTCAGGCTGCATAGGTCAACAGCAAACTAGACTCTTAATAGTCAGGGGCTTACTCCAACCGGGGCTGGCTTTGAACTCATGACCTTTTGGTCATGATTTTGAAACCAGCCCAGGTTAGAGTAAGCTCCTGACCATTAATAGTCTAGTTTGCTGTTGACCTATGCAGCCCGGAAGACAGTTGCAGTAGTGATTTAATGGTCAGTAGTGATTTAATGCAGCTGGCTACTAACTAGCTGCGCCACAGTCCAGCAATTAATTAATTCTACAGTGCAGAAGTACTCGGAAGTCATCCCAAAGAGTTCCTTTTGAGCAAATTGTTGTTAAGTTTTCCCAGACCCCCTTTGCCTTCTCTCTACTTCTTAAAGGTAAAAGTAAAGGTTTTCCCCTGACATTAAGTCTCGTCGTGTCCGACTCTTGGGGTAGGATGGTGTGCTCATCTCCATTTCTAAGCCAAAGAGCCGGTGTTGTCTGTAGACACCTCCAAGATCATGTGGTTGGCATGACTGCGTGGAGCGCCATTACCTTTCTGCTAGAACGGTACCTATTTATCTACTCACATTTGCATGTTTTTGAACTGCTAAGTTGGCAGCTGGGGCTAACAGTGGAAACTCATGCCACTCCTTGGATTCGAACCTGCAACCTTTCGGTTAGCAAGTTCAACAGCTCATGGTTTACCCACTGTGCCACCGGGGGCTCCTTAACTGTGTGTGTTTTTTAAAGAATCATCATGATTGTATTGTCGAAGGCTTTCATGGCCGGAATCACTCAGTTCTTGTGGGTTTTTTCGGGCTATATGGCCA